GAAATCTACAGCCTGTATTTTTCTCTCTGTTCGCTTATGCAGACGATCTGGTGGTTTTTGGAAGCAATGGACGAAACCTGCAATTCAATCTCTGCATTCTTCAGGAAGAATTAAATAAGATAAACATGCAAATAAATGTGGAAAAAAACAAAACTATGAGGATTGGCAGGAAACAAGGAAGAGGAGACAGAATAGTACACTTGAGTGGAGTCCCATTGGAACAAGTGAAAACTTTTAAATACCTCGGTGCCTACATCAATGAACATGGATGGATCGACGGAGAAATAAAGGAAAGAGTGAAGTCTGCAGGAAGGTGCTTCAACGCCATAAAGAAGGGATTCTTGAACAAGATAGAAGTGAGTAAAGAGACCAAAACGACCGTGTACAAAAATACTTTCCTCCCGATAATGACCTACTCCAGCGAGCCATGGACCCTCACCACAAAACACATCAGCCAGATTCAGGTCATGGAGATGCGATTCTTGCGCAGGGTCTTTTGTAATTAATGGGAAGTTTAGAGCGTTTGTCTAGTAAGTGCTGAAGTAATCGGAAACGTCGAGCGGTTTCTTGTCGTTTCAGTCTAGTATGAGGATTCCAAGTTAGTCGTTTGTCCAGGTGGAGTCCTAGGTATCGGATTTGCTCAACAGGGATAAGTGGAGTATTGTTAAAGGAAACTGTAGGACAGGAAGTCGTTGGTTTACGACGAAGGGTAAAGGTAATTTGGTGGGATTTATTGGAGTTTATTTTAATTCTCCAGTTTTGACACCATTCTTCTAGATTTATGATGTGTGATTGAAGCATTTGGGATGCAATTGCTGGGTCATTGTTTACTGATAGGATACATGTGTCATCGGCATATGTGGTGATGACAGTGTTGGGACAGGTAGGGATGTCAGCTGTATAAACTGTATAGAGGATAGGACCTAGGATACTACCTTGAGAAACACCAGCAGACTGGGAAAAAAGGGATGAATAGGCGTTACGAGTTCTTTTTAAGAGGCACATGAGGTTAGAATTTTATTAATTATAATCTAACATTCACAATAGAACGTAATGTTTGCATTGAATGTAAATACATTTATGTAATACATATTAAAATAAAAAATTAACTTTATTTATTTTTTTTGGGTAACATAAGGTATCTGGAAAAAAAGAAATGGAATTTTTATTTACTTTTATCATTTTACTTATTTTTGCTGCAAGAAGTTACGTATCTTCTTAAGATTCCGATTCTTTTCTTGTTATTTTTTCAATATTTATTTTAATCTGTTAGTATCGTTTCCAAATTGTCAGTTGTAAATTATTATAATCCAAAAATCCAATCCTTATTTTTGTGTTCTTTGGACAAAATTTAATAATTGTGATTAGATAGAATGTCGCAGAGAAAGATCGCAAACGGTGGGTGGGAGAATTTTCTTATTATTCGATATTTGGAACCTATATTGATTGAGTCGTATAATCTCAAATTTTGTGCGCTTTTTTCTTAGTCGATTCTACAGGTATTCAAACAAATATTATATGACATAGTCTTAGGGTTCTAGTATATAGAAGTATCGGATGTTTATATACTTTGTAAAAATAAATAAGGAATTATTCCATTCAAAACCACCTCTTACTCATTGTTGAATATTTTGTGGAATGATTCCTTTCTTCTTAAAGTTCTTCTGGTGTATTTGTGTTTTGTGAATAATGTTTTATAATTATTACCGGAAATACCTTAAATTTTTAGAGTTTGTTGAATTAAAAAAAGCTACTCATTAGAAAGCAGAAGCCTTTAAGATATTATTACTGATTTATATCGAATTAATTTGGTAGATATTTTGATTTTTTTTCATAATTTTTAGGTGCGATTTTAATTTTGTATCGGTATATTGGTTAAATAGGATCATATTATAACTGAAAGTGAAATTACAATTGTAGAATTATTTTATTTTATTCCTTTAAATAAGAAATATTATTGTAAACACATAAAAAATATAAGCCTAAAATATTACAAATATCTTTTCCTTTTCACTCTGACTATAATTTACAAATTATCATCTATGTCAGGAGATCCGGAACTTAAGCACACTCATCATTCATTCTCTGTTCCCGTCCTAGTTTTTTCATCAACCCCCATTTTTCACTTATTGTACTGATTAGCATCATTTCTCACAGCATCCACTTATAATCCCGCTTAGCCCCGAATCATTGCAAAACATAAATACCTTACCACCACGGATAGCCAAACCACGAGATCGACCATTATTTAATTTTTTTTTTTGTTACTTAAATATACCCAAAACAGTAACCATTAAAGAGGATTGTGCTACTCATCACAATTACTCATAATGTAAGGCAGATTTGTCATCCCTTGGGGAGGGTAATGAGCCAGTTAAGATGCATAAGGCAGTGGTAGCAGTAAATAGGGTACTTGGGGGGTTATCAAAAAGGCACTGGATACGGGGCCCACCCTTTTTAATTGCATCATAACTTCTTTTATATTACTTTTTTCCTCTTCAGATTTTGGAATATTCTTTCTTTTTTTTTTTCTACATTTGCATGTCAAATAATAAATAAATACGATTTAACAAAGATTTAAAAAAAAGAAGCATTTAAAAATCATAATCGAAAGCAATGAACTAATAAAGTTCACAAATCTGCAAATTATTTCGCAATAGTTTATTATTTCCAAACTAATATACATCTAAAGTAACATTTGCCTACCTAGTGACAAAAACAAATAAATAAAAGGTAATTTCAATTAGCAGAATAAACTTTTTTTTTTAATCATTAGTAAAATACAAAAAAAAAAAAAAAAAAAAAAAAAAAAAAAAAAGGTAGAACATATAAAACAAAAAAAACTAGAGACCATATCTTTGCTCCTAATTTTTTTTTCTTTTTTAGTAAATTCTGTAAACTCTTAAATACCTATACAATATCATCAAAAAAGTGTAAACTTTTTGAGTTATTCAGAATTTAATTTTACCATCCCTTCTATCTTTTTTTCTATCTTGTTTTCGTTGAAGTATGTTATATAGATAAATATAAAGGCCGTCGAGAAAATGACTTTATCGAACTTTCATTGAAGTCGGTACATTCGTTTAGACACTACAGCCTATAGCAACGCAAGTTTTTCGGCCGGCATTTTGAAAGTAAAAGGCGGATAATAATGTCGATGAGGATCATCCTCGGGTGAGCTCTGATTTTATATCCAAATTTGAAAAAAATCGGTCCAGTAGTTTCGGAGAATTTTGGGGATGGAATTTTTTTTTATTCTGAACAGTGTAATTATTATTTTAATATAATTTTCGATTACAGATATATATATATATATATATATATATATATATATATATATATATATATAAAACCTAGGCATTTTCATAGACCAAACCCTATCCTGGAAACACCATATTGCTCACATTACCCGACAGTCAATTGGTACCTTGAAACTATTCCATCGCTTCCGCCATCTCCTACCCATCTCCACACGTAGACTCCTAGTAACTTCCCTTATCTTCCCCCACCTTGATTACGGCTGCGTGGTGTACGGTGGCCTCTCGGCCGAACTCGGGGAGAGACTGAAAAGAATTATGAATACCTTCGTAGGATTTGTCACAGGGGCCCTGAGGTATTCTCGTGTTTCGCACCACTATGCTGAATTAGGTCCTTCCGAAGACAATATTTCCTAGGCACATTCCTTTATCAAATAATCAATAGTCATCATCCGTCCTACGCATACAATCTCCTACAATTCAAATCATCTATCCACACCCTCTCCACAAGATCTCGTCCTTCTGACCTTTACACTCTTTTCCACAGATCTGCATCATTTAAACATTCCTTCGTTGTCCGTTCTACTGCATTCTGGAATTCCATCCCACTAAAAATCCGCCATGCATCATCCTTATCCACCTTTAAAACCCTCTTATTCCAATTCCTCTTCACAATCCAATCAGACGCTGGTTAAATACATACTATGTTATAAGGATTTAATTTTCTTTAGACATTATTTTCTTTTTCTCTTATTTTTTATTGTTTCACACGTGAATTTTCATCACCACTCACTAAGCATTGTGAGTAGATAAAATTTGTTTTTCTTAAGTTCTAATTTGTTATTCATGAAATGTATTTCAGTGAAAGGTATTTTATTTTTAATTATCTTCAACATACTTCTCGCTATGTGTATATGTATACTTTATTTTATTTTCTCTTATCCTAATCTTTACGCATAATCACTTAAATATCTTAGGAAACATATGTATATCATTATTTGTTTTTTTATATTTTTTTTGTTTTAGTTTTTACAATTTCTTTCCCTACATATTAACAGTTATTATTATTTTTTTTAATTTTTATATTCCATCACTACAATGCTTTACCTATAAAATAGATTTTACTTTCCTTTCTAATTTCATTCAGTGATTATTATGCAATTATTTTAGTTCCAATATTGTAGTACTGAACCCCTATTACCCAACTGTCCTCGTTAATTTATCCTAAGAGCTTAATTAATACTTAATGTATTACATGTATTTTGTTATTATTCATTGTAATAAGTCTTTTGACCAGATTTATAGTTAATATATATGAACAATACTGTTATTCTAAAGGGACCTAGTCCCAGAATAAAGATGATTTTTCTATTTCTATTTCTATTTCTCTCTCTCTCTCTCTCTCTATATATATATATATATATATATATATATATATATATTTATATATATTATTATATTTATTATATTATTATTTATATTTATATATATATATATATATATATATATATATATATATATATATATAATATATATATATATATATATATATATATATATATATATATATATATACTTTTAGAAAAAATCCAGTAGGTGCTAATTATAAACTGTAACCTTTGATATTTGTATTTATTACGAATATTGTCATTGTTGAAAGTTAAGGAAATTTATATTATTATTTTCTGTATTTTCAGTTTGCGGACTACCCATTGCCGTTAGCAACACCAGCGACGCAGCACCATGCATTGTCCTCGGGATTACCTACCTACATTCTCAGCAGGTAACCTTATAATGCTCTAATATCGTCCAACTACTGTCCTCTCTCTTGTAGTCACCAGCTACCATTGTTTCGAATCTCATGGTAAAATAATTTCTGAAATTTTGAATTCATAGTACAATGCTAATTCAACGTAAGGGTATTCACAAATACCATTAAGTTTCCATATCTAAACGTTATAGTCCCTCATGAAAATAGAGTCGAGGACTATGGTTAAAACAATGAATAACATGCGTTAAGTTATCTAGTTGAAAAAAAAAACAAAACAATTTAGATACTTTAAAAGTAAATAAATAGACTCCCAGGATTTTTTGCCATTTACAGTCTCTATTTTATTTTAAAACTTTATTTGTTGAGAAACTTTCGGTGTCCGTGGACCATATTCATCTCTATATTTATAATACTCTAACTAGGATAAATTAAAAAAATGTGCCAAATTCGAAATATTTAACGGTCCACATCCCACAACCATATTCACAAATACATAAAATTCAAATAATAGTAAATTAAATAAGATAGGGTTACCAATTACTTGCGACTTTAGTCTAGACTTTAGTAGAAGTAGACTTTAGTTACCAAATATTTGCAATAATATAGAGTATGCTGACAGTAAATCCTGAGCACTCGGTAAGATGGTGTCCGACAAAGAGGAGTCCTATTCTCGGAGAAAGGTGACATGAGACGAAGAACAAGAATACTGTTCTTATTATTTATGTTTTTTAAATAGACAAAACTAATAAAAAGTATGGCATGATCTGATAATAATTGCACGACATTTTAAAAATTATGTAATACAGATATTGTTAATGTTATTAATTAACTGTTAATTTGTCCTAATTGGAGTATTATAATTATGGAGATGAATATGGTGCACGGAAACCGAAAGCTTCTCTACAAATAAAGTTTTAAAATAAAATAGATTTTCAAAGATAAAAAATCCTGAAGTTATTAGAACATAAAAACAGTCTAAAATTACCTAATAAGTTATAAATATTTCTACATATAACTTCTATTCTCAATATAAATATATACTATAAACAGGCACAAATATGTTTATATTTATAATATTAGAACTATGTAATCCTTAATATAATAGATTTTTTTATGATCAGTATTTAAAATATTGTATAATATATTGTACTACTTACCATTTCAATGCATTACATCTCTGTATTATAAATGTTATTTAGCTAACTATTGTATACCTTCAATCAAACTACGTTATGTTTATATTGAATGGCACCTCTTTCTTATGTTCCTTTCATTAATAGCGAATAATGTAACAATCGTCCCAATTTTGTTAACTATAACAAACAATACAAATTTTGTATACATCTCGAATAATTTAGTCAGCAAATTATTTGCATTCTACGAACAGAAATATTACCCACCTCCCCCCTCTGACTATTTTTACCTACAGTTTGCTATCTTAAAAAGCACATCTGGGAAATCCTCCACCGAAAAAGAACTCTGCCTGAACAATGATCCAAAATCGAAATAAACATAAATGATTGGTATAAAATAAATAGGTACATGAAAGAAATAGTAAACACGCATATAAAAATTGTATGCCTGATAAAAAATTAATAAAAACTATTAAATGAAATATAAATGCTAAAAGTTATCGAATCGACCCCAAACTCATTACCTTTTTAGGAAAAATAGTTAAGCTGTTATTGATTTCTTCCTTAAAAACGCAACAAAATTAGATAACCAACCAGAAGCATTAAAACAATGCTTCTTAACTCTTCTAAGAAGCTCCGAAGACTTTACCAGCGTCTATACAGATGGGTCGAAGAAAGGAGAACAAGTTGGATGTTGTTCTACCGGTGAAGACTAACCGCTATTCTCTTAATTTCAGTTACTCAGTCCTATCCTTCGAGCTCTTTTCCATCGACTTAGCCTTAGATAAAGTTATAAATGAGACTATCAATAACCACGAACTAATTCTCAGTGATTCCTACTCAACCATCAAGCTCATAAAATTCTTTAAATTATGCATCAATCCTATAGTATTCCACATCGCCCAAATCATTCAACTAAACAATAAAATTTCTTTGGGTTCCCAGTCGTACAGGGTAATCACCAAACAGGCGGATATAGCCGCAAAAGGAGAATCCACCGTACTTCCAGTATCTGGCATTAACATCGTGCTGTTCGACTTCAATTCAGCAGTTCTGAAGCATTGTAAAGAAGCGTGCTGAAATTCTTGATCAAAGATTCTCGTTACCAACAAAATGAAAAACATCTTTAAGGACACGAATCCTCTCCCACAAATTTATGGAAATCGGCCTGAGGCAAAACACGCCTCAGAATAGGCCACATTAGGCTCTCTCATTGGCATCTTATAGACAGGATTGAAACACCAAGATGTCGCAGCTGCAACATTGTTATAACAACACAATGCATCACAGAGGAGTGTCCGAACTTGGGTCCATCAAGAATCTTGTATCACCTTCTAAGATAAAAGCCCTTCAGTCAGCAAGCCCTTCAATCGGAAAATTTGAGTAATTTGTTCCGATTTCAGAAACAACATCATTATTACAGACATTATTATCAGAACTAACCTATGCAGCTGTAACAACACGATCTTTATAGCAATATCTTAACATTACATTACATACACATCTAATACAACACAACCTTTAATGACATATTGTAATGGAATTTCAATACGGTGCCTCTAGCCCCAACGGTGCAAATAGCACCCAAATATAACCAAATAAATAATAAAAGTTATAAATGATATAATTTTAAGGCACATACCAAACTCTATCATATCTGTTATATAATATTATTTAACATATCTGTTGTATACAATTTTAAAAACTAAGTATTTATAAAAACAAAAAAATCCACTTTTATACCATCAGATTTGGTTTTATTAATAAGATTTCTATTACATTGGAATGTTTCACCAAATATAGAGACTAAAATCAGACTAAAGACAAAACAGCTAACATGTTGGGCATAACATGATGAACATCATCAATTCAATTGAAAAAATTAGAATTGATTAAGAACTATTATCTGATTGATCTTGCCTTGAAATATTAAAATATTCTTGGTTTATATTTTACAGAATTAATATATAAATTAACTTATTAACACATCCCCATTAGAGATGTGATTTATTTAATGTTGGGCTTAAGAAAGGTTTAACGTCAATATCACATTATGTTATATGTAATTTTTGAATCTAATTGCTAATTAGTTTCAACATTGCCAATCTAAAAGAAATAAAAATAAAAATGGTGAAATCAATATAGCCACATTATATTATGAATCATAGTTTAATCTTAAAATAATAATATATACCATAACATCTTAAAAAAAAAAAAAAAAAATCATAGAAACTTGTATCTCCTACTTTTCTACTTAAAATTGACCCATTGTTTATATAAATCTGTTTGTAGCTGTTGAGGTCTGCTATCATTCCTATAAAAATTTCCATCTACTTATGGGACACACAATATATATTTTATTTGGCATTTATTTATTTTATTTTTTTTGTCTTCGTTTTACCAAGCTAGTTCAAATTTATATTTGTAAGATTGTGATGTAAGGGTTATCAGACTTCAAACTATTCTTTAACTCACTAAAAGAATTAATTTATTTACAATTAATTTATAAATGATAAGTGTGATATAAACAAATAAAAGAAAATACAAAACAAAGTATTATTACCTAAAAGAATTGAATTAAAGTCCTTATCTTAGGGCCTTTTAGCACTTTACAATCATTAAACCAACTTTAAAACCAATACACAAATATTGTAACCTTCTCCATATTCTAAAATAGCACCATGGCTCACTAAATATTAGACAACATATTTACATATTGTAGTATTCAATCTCATTGAAAATAATAAAAAGAAACCAATTTAAATTATAAGCTATTCCCTCTTAGTCTCGCTTTAACAGGATTCGTATTTTCTTCAACAGGAATGAATATTTTTGAAATTAAATGCCCCATTCCTGGTAATTATTTCTTCTGAAAAAAATATTTTTCCATAGAAGTAGAGTTTCCAAATTAAACAAATAAATAATTAACATTTCCTAATTCTGATTTACTGTTGCATTCAAATGTAGGTTTTTTTTACCATAATCTTGATGGACATCTTGTCAAAACCTATGAAAAATAACAGCTCATAAGTAGTTAATTATTGTTTAAAAAAAAAATTAAATCCCGCAATAGCTTAAATTATTTTCCTGAAAATGTAAATTATTAGAATTAGGAATATGTAGTTGATCCTAAATTAAATAAATTATCGATATGAGTGTCAAAAGTAATGATACACAATCAATTAGGTGATAATTAAAAGGAAAACATTTATAATATATTTTTTAATAGTGTATTTTAGTAATATAGCTTAATACCTAGAATCTCATGTCAAAAAAATTGTTAAAAAGAATATGAGAAGACAAAACTTCAAATCAATCACCCGTCCTTTCAGAAAATTTCGAACACAAAGTTTTCATTTTTCGAACGCTATAAAAATTCATATTTCATAGTTTTTCGAGATGCGAAATGGATAGCTTAACGTTGTTTCTTCTTAAAACGGTATTTGACCCACTTAACTCCTTTCGATTGTACAAATTGTTTCAATGTTGTATTAATACTGTAGCTAATTTTTTTTAAAACCGCACTGGTATTAACCTTAAAAAATAAAAGTATTACTCTAAAAAACATTTCAAGGCGTAAACGATTTTGTTGTAATTTGAATAAACAGTGTTATTTGTTTAAAAATATATGCTGGTATGCATCTAAAGCAGTGTTATAACTAAACTATGGCTAATGAGCGTGACCTAGATCTGGGAAATGATCCGGAATATTACGTGATATCTGGATCTCGCCTACTGAGTAAAGAGAAAAATAATGTTCTTAATATTGCTAGTTCATATGGTTTTCCAGAAGTAATTGGGAAATAAATAGATGGGAGATAGCAGACCTTAAGAGTTAATATTAAAAATATTGAATACTAATATCAAAAAGTGCATATACAGTAACCAATAATTAAAAAATATTTAATATAGGAAATTTCTAATTTCGTCATAGTGAAATAGGACGAATTTCCATTAAATGCATTTAGAAACATTTTTGTTATTTTGAGGAGTTCAGCTGTGCTATTTTTTTATTTTTTATACGCGTTATGTCCATAACAATTGAGTCCAATATAATATGGCGCCAATTTAGTAAATAAAATTAGTGATTTGAAGTTTTGTCTTCTCATATTCTTTTTAACAATTTTTTTGACATGAGATTCTAGGTATTAAGCTATATTACTAAAATACACTATTAAAAAATATATTATAAATGTTTTCCTTTTAATTATCACCTAATTGATTGTGTATCATTACTTTTGACACTCATATCGATAATTTATTTAATTTAGGACCAACTACATATTCCTAATTCTAATAATTTACATTTTCAGGAAAATAATTTAAGCTATTGCGGGATTTAATTTTTTTTTTAAATAATAATTAACTACTTATGAGCTGTTATTTCAAGATTATGATTATCAAGATTATCAAGATTATGGTAAAAAAAACCTACATTTGAATGCAACAGTAAATCAGAATTAGGAAATGTTAATTACTTATTTGTTTAATTTGGAAACTCTACTTCTTTGAAAAAATATTTTTTTCAGAAGAAATAATTACCAGGAATGGGGCATTTAATTTCAAAAATATTCCTGTTGAAGAAAATACGAATTCTCTTAAAGCGAGACTAAGAGGGAATAGCTTATAATTTAAATTGGTTTCTTTTTATTATTTTCAATGAGATTGAATACTACAATATGTAAATATGTTGTCTAATATTTAGTGAGCCAAGGTGCTATTTTAGAATATGAGAAGGTTACAATATTAGTGTATTGGTTTTAAAGTTGGGTTAATGATTGTAAAGTGCTAAAAGGCCCGAAGATAAGGACTTTAATTCAATTCTTTTAGGTAATAATACTTTTTTTTTATTTTCTTTTATTTGTTTATATCACACTTATCATTTATAAATTAATTGTAAATAAATTAATTCTTTTATAAGTGTAAAAGAATCGTTTGAAGTCTGATAACCCTTACATCACAATCTTACAAATATAAATTTGAACTAGCTTGGTAAAACGAAGACAAAAAAAAATAAAATAAATAAATGCCAAATAAAATATATATTGTGTGTCCCATAAGTAGATGGAAATTTTTATAGGAATGATAGCAGACCTCAACAGCTACAAACAGATTTATATAAACAATGGGTCAATTTTAAGTAGAAAAGTAGGAAATACAACTTTTTTTTTATGTTATGTTTTTTTTTTTTTTAATTTGAAGCAAGAATTTCTGTAATTAAAAATTGCTTCACTGTAAACTAGACAAAATTCAATTCGAATGAAAATAGAGTTTATTATTGTTAAAATCATTTAAAGAGACCTTTTGACCAGCTAAACTAGGCTAATTTCATAAAACAAAAAAACCCTTAAATTATCTGCGATTTTAATTTATATCATCCAACTATAGTACAGATACCCCACTTTCAGAAAAACTTTCTTGTTTAATAAGCTTAAGTACATATTATTGAAGTTGAGGTTGAAAAAAAAATTGAGATTCACCTCAAGTTGTGTAACTATGTGAATTTTTAACCACTCACCTAGAAGAACCCGTGTTTTAAGCAAAAATGACTACAATTAATTGTTGCAAAGCATTTTATTCTTGTCTTCACGTGATTTGGGATGTGCTATAATAAACATAATTAGGCAAATACACTTTTTTATGTATGAACAATTTTTTTTTTAAATTATGATATTTCAAATATTTTCAAGCAAAGCGGTTATGAAACTGTTTTTCATCCATATATCTTTTATAGGAATTGATCTGTATTTATAAATGGCAAACTAACTGTTTATAGTTCAAAAATTTACATTTAAAATAAAGAAACTTGCTGAATGCTTCAATCATTTACACGAAAACGTAAATATTAGGATCGGGAAGATTTAATTGTGATTTTCTGATAGATCCGCTTTTCTGATAAGTGATACAGATAGTGTGTGTATAAGCGATATAAATCAGATTTAATACAGATCAATTCCTATAACAGATATCTGGATGAAAAATAGTTTCATGACTGCTTTTCATGAAAAATATTTGACTACAGTTAATAGTTCCAAAACTTTTATTTGTTGTTTTTCCATGATCTGGAATGTATTATTACAAACATAATTGCTTGAATACTCTTTTTATTAATACATTTTTTAGATAATTGTCTACTCAACTTGAGGTTTGCACACATTCATATAAATCTGTCTTTCACAGAGAACGCAGGAAGCATGAAAAGAGGGTGTGCTGGGTTAGAAATCAGTGATCAAGTACAATAGGAGCGAGGACGTGCTGCTTGGAGAAGGAAAGGGTTTTGTTCCCGCTCGAGAATTAATAAAAGCCTAATATTTGGTTTGCTAATCTGGACTCGATTGTCTGAGAGCTCGGCAAACAAGGCTGCAACAACAAAAATACAACCACTATTCGTTATCTTTTGTCGGTCGGATAATCTCCTCCTATCTGCGCATTAGTTCTGGAAAGCCATTCAGTCAGTTATCTTTAGTTGAGAATACCTTCTGAGCTGAATAATGCACACATACATATATAATGTAGTAATGTATTGCTTGAAAAAAAAATTTATTTTACATTATTTACAAAATTAATCAGTAATTAATAATATTTACAATTTGTAAATTGCCTGAAGAAAATTTTTTTACTGTTTATTGTATACCTGGAAAATATAAATGATAAAAATATACAGTTCTTTTAATTACAAAATAAATTTCCCTAACCTTACATTCTTGTAACCTCATACCAAGTGCTTAACTAATATCTGTTAAATAAAACAATTGCTCTTATAATCTACCACCATTTAAATTAAAAGTGAACAATTCGCTTTTACACATAACTTGGAAATAAATAAAAATATAAATAGTACAACGTACACAGGGTGTCCCGTAAGTAGAAGGAAATTTTTATAGGAGTGACAGCCTCAAGGCCTAAAAAAAAAGTTCATATAAACATCGTAACAATTCTCGTCAGAAAATTAGGGGAAATCCAATTTTAGTGCTTGTTGATGAAGAGGAAGCGATAAATGAAGAAATATTTAATTTAAATAATTAAAAATTATTTCACTGTAAAATACAATAGAAACAATTTTCTTCAAATTAAAATAGAATTTTTCATTGTTAAAACCATTTAAAGAGGACTTTCGAGAGGCTAAACATGACTAAGTTTTGAAAAAAGTCTTAAATTATTGGCGTTTTTTATTTATTTTTTATCATTATCCAACTGTACTACAGATAAGATACCCTATTGTTTTGTGTAAAACCTATTATACCCGATTGTAGTGTTGTGGCGAATAGTGAAAACAGATCAGATATGATTTAAAAAATAAAATTCAGTCCGCCCCAGCTACCAGACGCACTTACCCCCATTCCTAGGCAGATATTCCCAGAGGCATCAACTATAGCAGACTGGAGGGCCCTCTCAGTGAAGTAGGATGTCTTCGTTCTGAAATAAGTGACTTCGTTAATACATACGTTTATTCTTGCTTGTCTTGGCCTACTTTGGTGAGCTTTGCATTTATTTTGAAGGAAATTAGTTTTGCCTTCAGCAATTAAAATTTAATTTTGAATCTTTATTTTTTTAATCAACTTTGAAGAATACTAACTAAGAGTAATGAGTGACATTAAGCTATTAATATAAGAAAGGAAAAGTTATTTCTTAGAATTCAAACCACTTTCGATATGATTGAGGGTCTCCCTGCTAGAAAGAAATTTTTTATGACTAGGGCTTCAAAAATTAAATCACAACTGGAACAATTTGAAGCAGTGTTGAACAAAATTTCGGTGCTACATGAATCGTTAGAGGAGGAATATAAGATTAAGATAAACGTACCTTCTTTAGTAGCGGAAAATCTTGAGAGGTTAACTAAAGCTGTGCAAGTAGTTCCCGCTTCTCAACCCAGCATTTCTGAACCAGTAGCGCATCCTAAATTGTCAGATCTACAAATTGCTGTAAATTTTATAGACAGTACGAACAATTTCCTTCATTCAAATCACTATTGGATGCCTTAATTCGTCATTGAAATTACACGGGTATAATCAAATTTTCTTAACTCGTCACTTTTAGTTCATCCGGTTTCACAGGCCATTTCTGCAATTGAGTTTAACGTAGGAAATTACAGCTTGGCCTATGATAAATTAGTAAAGCGTTATAGTAATAAAACGATCATTATGGCCTACCATCTTAACAAAATTGTACTGTTTAAATCATTTTCTGTTGATAATTCCTCCAACTTTGGAAACTTTCTGGATACATTTAAAGATAAATACAACGTCTTAAAAAATCTTAAACTCAATAACCTCGATGATTTTGTTTTTCTGCATCTCGGACTAAACGTTGTAGACCTTAATACAAGAAGAATGTTTGAGAATAGTGTCGACGAAGAGAAGGTTCCAAACTTTGAAGAAATGTGTTCCGAGCCTTCAACATCCAAAATTTCACAGCCTGAAAAAGTTCCACAAGTTCAAGCCACAAGTTCAGAAAAAAACATTTTTAACCAGCAATAGACCGGATAATCAGAAATTTAAGTTACAATGCCGAGTCAGTACATCAAGCCATAAAATTTGCTGTAACATCCCAAGTACATACAAACATTAATTACGCAATTTGTTTTCGTACGACTTTTTGTTTTTGAGCTAGATTGCTTTGCCATAATCGGTCATTTTTACTTTAAAGACCTCAAAACTTGTTTGTAATTTCCGTTTAAAACTCAGATTAGAAAATTTTCACGTTCACAATATTTTTTCTTACTATATATAGGTAAATTAGGTATATAGGTAAATTGAATTTTTTTAAAAGTATTATTAAATACGAGTATTGGAATTATATAAATAAATCACATAGGTTTAGCCCCATCTTTAAAACAAAGCTCTCACATCCGTATACGTGACTGCATCACTTACATATGAGGCCTCTCAAACAACAAAGGACAAACCGTTCTAGTATCTCGATCTATCTCCCCTTATCTCTGGTTCCTTCCATTCCGACAGATGCCGCTGAATGCGCTAGAGTAATCCAATCTTCTGCGCCATTTAACTCTTTTCCTTGAGCAGTGTACGGCCCTATTGTTCTCTGCTTGATGCCTTATTCTTATTCTTCAGACCTCCCTTCAATGAGACACAATGAGAAACATCGAAGGTGAGCCAGCGAGCATTCAGCTACCCTAAAGGAATTCTCTAGCCTTTCTCATTTCTCAGTCACTACAATGCCAATGGATGCCGCATAGAAGCCTTCATGGTTTTTCACTTAGCCTAAGTTCGTAAGCTTTTAACAGTTCGGAGATTTTAAGTAGTTCATAAATAATTTTAACCGGATGAAATTACTCCAATAACCTTCCACATCATAAGTTGCATTAAATGGTGGTAGAGGTTTTCGCTGCCTCTCAGATCAGTTACGCATATCCAAAAAAGTGCTAAAGTTTTACACATTTATCCGTTTTTTCCTATTTTGGCCATGAAGGGTTACATTTTTGTCGAGAAATATTCTATACATATTTAAATTAAAATTCAATTTACTACTATTTGAGACCAGAATAGGCTCCGTTATCGAATAAATTTTTGAACATCAGACTTTCAAAGTTTTCGAAACCTGAAAATTTTAAACAGTTTTTTTTTGCGTGTATTAACATACGTAATTGCTTTTGAGGCTTCAATAGCCCGTACGAATCAGTGAAATAAATATTTATTCAATTTATCATTTTTAATTGTTTTGTAGTGAAGGAAAAGGGAAAGGTTTGGCGAGAGAAGGTGAGTTCATCGAAATTGAAATACGAAATTTATTTAACAAACATTTTCATGAATTCTATGCAAAAATGATAAATGAAGTGGACGAAATGTTAATTAAAGGTGTTTCCTCCGATTCAATGGACCTGGATTGAACAAATACGCCAATCCACCATCTTGGACCACTCCTTTTCATGACAAGGTTACTGAACTAAATAGCATGTTTCAAAATGTTATGAATCCTTTGTAGTAACTTTGGATTACTATATTCTAGTTCATATTTATAAATGAATTTTATGCTCTTTTTCAATGTAATTTTTAAATTTCTGCCCAGAACATTCTAATAAATATTAATCTAATAAGACACACTAAATATTTCAAGCAGAGTGGAAAAAACTGAGGTGTGTGCTTTGGACCACACAATTGAAGTGAAAACATCAACAAAACGAGATTCATAATATAAAATATAAATTTGGTTTTATTCTATATTCACAATTAATTCTAAATTCACATTCGCATTAATCATATATACAATTATAGTTCTATATAAACAATATTTTGTTCTATAATGTAATAAAATTTACAATATATACAATTATAATTATGTATGAATTACCCTTGTAAACTTTGCTTGATATTTAAAATATCTGATGAAACTTATTTATTTATTCCAACTACTTTATTTATTAAACCTGAAAAAACCTGTACCACTACAATCCATCTTTGGGTGCAGTACAATGTGATGAAGTACTAATATCACGTTCAAACGTCAGGTTTTTCTCCTTAATTATTTTCTTAATTAAGGGTAACCACTTTATTGAGGCTGGGTGTGCTCCAGGAAGGTCTCCCGATTCAAGGGTCGATCCACGGCTAATGAAAAATTACTAGTCATTAGCCGGACTCGAACCTAGGACCTTGAGCTCTGGAAGTCAGTGCTCACTCACTGAGCTACTCCGCTCCCTTATTAATTAAACGTTAACATTAAATTCATATTAAATGTTGTTAAAGTGATTTGGGCTGTTGTTGACAAAGTGAAGGGGAAAAAATAACATCAGAACGTGGTGTTATAGCGCATGTACCAGTTTTTCTAAGACGTTGAAACGTGGATCTAAAGATTGTTTGGTAATCTTATATTTGGAAATATCCTGGCATATTCCCGATGAGCAGGATTAGCATTAACATTGCAAAAACCGTATAAAAACACCATATCGGCATATTCACCATTAGTATAAATGGAATAAATGGCAAATGTTCAATGTTGGCCTACTCTAAAGTACCTTTATTTTTTTTAATTTGAAATAATTAACCATTTAACATTAATGTTTGATATAAAAAATAGTTAAATATAAAATTAGAGTTTGATAATTAACTAAAGGAGAAATAAGACATTGTAACGGATAATAGTTGTGATAGAGGAATCAAAGGAATACGAGCTTGCTCGAGCTTGTCCGCAAGATTACAACAAACAGGCTTCCATATGTAACAGGAGATTCATATAATATTGAATGCGATAGTATTATGTTCATATACATGCGGTTTTCATAAATTCT